ATTATATTTTTTTTTTAAAATGTGTTTCTGACATAAAAATTTTTAGGTGAAATTATATGGATGTTAAATGCACAATTTGCTTTAAATACTAAATCATAAGCAAATTGCAAGTAACTATTTTTAAAAAGTAAATAAAATAAAATCAGACGTGTTTATTTAAAACTTTTTCGTTATTTGAACAGTAAAATATTTCTAAATTCTTTGTTTTTATTGGTCACAGCGAAAAAAACAGGCGCCTCTTACGATTTTCAATTATTAATACAGGTCCGAATATGGTTCGTTGATACGTTCCCCTCTCTCATGCGTGTTTTAGGCTGGTGGTAAAGCGGGGAAAGACTCTGGAAAGGCTAAGGCGAAAGCTATTTCACGCTCCCACAGGGCAGGCTTACAGGTTCGTCTTCGTTTTACATATGATCTTTTACTTGCCTGGAAACCTACCCCATCCTTTTCATTGTAGTTTCCGGTCGGCCGTATTCATCGTCACTTGAAAACGCGTACTACCAGTCATGGACGAGTTGGTGCCACTGCTGCTGTCTACTCTGCAGCAATCTTGGAGTATCTAACGGCCGAAGTTTTGGAGCTAGCCGGCAATGCCAGTAAGGACCTAAAGGTGAAGCGTATTACACCCCGTCACTTGCAACTGGCTATTCGGGGAGATGAGGAACTTGACACTCTCATCAAGGCAACGATCGCTGGTGGAGGTGTCATCCCCCACATTCACAAGTCCCTTATTGGGAAGAAGTTGCCCCCGTCCAAACCTCTTGGTGTTTAAGTGTCATCTAACTCGACGTAACCATTCTGTGCCCACCTCCATGTCATCTAAATAAGTGTATATGTGGCTGCCTGCCCGTCCTTGGTGTTAGCATGGACTAAGATGTGTATTCTTTATGCAAATACCAGTGTGTCTACGTATGTTAATACATAGGTTTTTACTCCCAGGTAATGCCTTTTTCTGGGTGCATTGGCACCTTCGCAGCCTTCCATTTTTTCGTTTAGAGAGGAAAATTTATTGTACATTACTTAGTTTGAAGTCGAGTACAAATTAGTCGGGATTTTCACTGTCTTCAGTAATCACGGCTTGGGGCAGGCCGGCGATTAGTCTCTCGTGGAAGCTGACGAGATTGTCTGGAGCATGAGGGGGTATGCTGGATGATAACTGGCGGAGGCACTCGAGTCTACAAGGAAGCGTAATCGATGCCTTATCAAATTAAACAAATTGTTACCATGGGTTGCAGGATTCAACTACCTGATATTGCCAATGGGGTCCTCTATGAAGATGGATGGGGTCGCTTCTGCATTCAGAAGATCGGAGGTGGAGAACACGTTGCAAACGGTCTTCAGCATGGCATTTACACCCCTCGGAGCAATTATTCCAATTAACCTACAGCGGAGAAGAAGGGTCAGCGTTCGAACGTTATTGAGGCGATGTGGTGGAAAAGCACCTTTTAACTCGCAGAATGTGGGAAGAGACATTGATTGGCTTCCGCTGTAGCTTGCTGCCGTCAAAACCTTTCATGCACAATGAGTGAGCGAAAGGTTTTGTATTTAACTGTTGGTGGCATACCATAGACCAGGAATGTTTTGGACACAAGCTGTAGAGGATCGCCGAATTCAACGCAGTCTCACAATGTAATCAAGACACAAAGCCTGGGAACGTGATAAACTCAAGAACGTTTCAAAGGATAACAACAGGAAAGTGCTGAGACACCAGCGCTTCGACCGAAACAAAGTCAACACTATCCTCCCCTAGACTGGAAAATCCCCTCGCCCGTATACAAAATTTGGGGCTTGCCATCGGCTTCCCCAACTCCGAGTTATTGAGGATGTACATCGTCGTAAGTTCAAACACTTTCTGGTTTTGGCCTTTAAAATAGTTGTTGCCAGACATTTTTTCACATAAAAATTCACTTAGAATGAATCACGCGAAAGATTCGAGCTGAGACAAAAGTAGGTATGGGTAGAGCGAGACATTGTTTTACCGATAGCCGATTATCTGAAATAAGCTGTTCTTTAAATGAATATTTACTGTAGAATCAAGACTGCAACCAACCTGAGAGGTTTCGAGCCAAGTAGTGCATCGAGCGACAAAGCCTTGGCAACAGTGTAAAAACTTGGACAAAATCTCCACGCTTTTGTACGAGGGGTCCGGTCTATGCTACACAAGGAACTGCCAAGGTCTATACGGGGCAGTTCCAGAACTACCGAGACGTCAGCAAAGAAGAGAGCTCGAAGGAACATTATCAGAAGGGCGTACGATTGTAGAGAGTACTCTAGCAACTAAACAAATGCAATAAGCGCATTATTGCCCAACTTTCCCGCTTAGG